TGTTTGTCAATTTTATTAACCTTCTCTTTTTTGCATTTATTTTTTCTATCGATATTTTTTATTTCAATTTCATTTATATCTGCTCTAATTTTGATGATTTCTGTCCTGCTGCTCTCTTTAGGTTTCATTTGTTCTTCTTTTTCTAGGTTTTTTTTTTTTTTTTTCAGATGAAAAGTTAGGTTGCTTATTTGGGTTCCTTCTTGTTTATCGAGTTAGGCCTGTGATGATATCAACTTTCCTCTTATGACCGCTTTTGCCATGTCTCAAATGTTTCGATATGTTGTACTATCATTATTGTGCTTTTCTATGTCTCTCTTGATCTCTCTTTTTTTGTTCTCTAGCCCAGTTATTCTCCAGTAGCATGTTGTTTAATCTCCATGTATTTGTGGTTCTTCCTGCTTTCTTTTAACAGTCGATCTCCAGTTTCAAAGCATTATGATCAGAGAATACAGTTGGTATGATTTCAACCATCTTATATTTGTTGAGGCTATCTCTGTGTCCCAGTATGTCGTCGATCCTTGAGAATGTTCCATGTGCACTAGAGAAGAACGTATAAACAGCTGTTTTTGGATGGAGGGCTCTGTAAATGTTAATTATGTCCAGTTGGTCTAATGTGTCATTTAAGGATGTTATTTCCTTATTGATTTTCTGTTTGGATGATCTATCCATATCTGACAGTGGGATATTTAGGTCCCCAACTGCAATAGTGTTTTGGTCTGTTTCTCCCTTTACTTCTGTTAGTAATTTCTTTGTATATTTTGGGGCTCCCTGATTGGGAGCATAGATATTAATAAGTGTTATGTCTTCTTGGTGTATGACTCCCTTTATCATATTGATGTCTCCCTCAGTATCTTTACCTTTTTTATTTTGAAGTCTATTTTGCCCAATGTTAGTACTGTTACTACCACTTTTCTCTGAATGCCATGGGCTTGAAATATCATTTTCCACCCTTTCGCTTTGAGTCTATATTTGTCTTTACAACTGAGATGTTTCTCCTGGAGGTATCATATGGTGGGGTTTTGTTTTTTTATCCATTCTGCAACTCCGTACCTTTTTATTGGTGATTTCAGTCCTTTTACATTTAGGGTTATTACTGAAATATGAGGTCTTCTTATAGCCATTTTATCTTTTTCTTTCTGGTAGCTGGGTGTTTCCATTGCATCCTTGTCCTTGTGTTTCTGTTTTCTTTATTTTGGTTGACTTTTGTGGATTTTCTGTCTGGTCCTTCTTGTTTTATGTTGTATACTTTGGCTCTAAATCTTTAGCGTGTGGTTACCATTATGAAGTATGTAAAGGATAGTAATATATATATATAGTTGTTCATTTTCTTCTGCGCGTGCTTTATCTCCATTCCCCTCTGCGAATTTGAATCTTTGAATCCTCCCCTTTGCAGTCATTGATGTCTCATTTTGTCTGTATGTATTTTCATTACTATCTTGCTATAGCAAACCTTTTCTTATCTTTTAAGCTTATAATGCCCTGTTCTTAGTAAGGGTTGCACTTCTCTGCTTCTATTTGCCTGATAGTCACCTTACTCACAGTTATTTATTTATTTTTTTAGATGAGTTGACCCCTTTCAACATTTCCTGTAATATATGCCTCGTAGTGGAGAATTCCCTCAAGTTTTGTATGTCTGGAAAGGTCTTTATTTCTCCTTCATATCTAAAAGAGAATTTAGCTAGATACTTTATTCTTGGCTGGTAGTTCATTTCACTTAAAAGTTTGAATATTTGATTCCACTCCTTTTCGGCTTGTAAGGTTTGTGCTGAGAAGTCTGACGACTTGTCCCTGACTGCCCTGAGAATTCTGTCTTTGTCATTCATTTTTGATAATTTTAATACAATGTGTCTTGGAGAAGGCCTTTCAACTATTTGTCTAAAAATGCCTTCTAATCCCTGCTCCTTTTCCTCCCCTTCAAGAATGTCCATTATTCTTATGTTCCCTTTCCTAATGGTATCAGCTAGTTCTTATATTTCTCTTTCATGATTTTTCATTCTTCAGTTTCTCTCTTCTTCCTTCTGATTTACTTCTAGATTTCTGTCTTCAATATCACTGATCCTTCCCTGCATTTAGTTGACTGTATTTCCCAAGTTTGCTATTTCATTTTTCATCTCTTCCAGTGTGTCCTTTATGTCCAGAACATTTATTTGACTCTTTTTGAGGATTTAAATCTCCTTGCTAAAGAACTATTCTGCTCATCCAGTTTTTTTTTTCAATTCCTAAAATTGTTGATATGAATCAGTTTGAATCTCATTGAGTTTTTTCATAAGGACCATACTGAAGTCTCTGTCGTTTAAGTCGCATATTTCTATGTCTGTAAAATTATTTTCTGGAGATTTTTCTCTTTCTTTCTGAGATGCCTTGTCCCTTTTGTTGTTCATGGTGTTTAATGGACTATTTCTCTGCCTGGGCATTAATGGAAGTGTATTCTGCTTTTTTTCCAGAAAACAATTTATTATATAAAGGTCTCTGTTTAGCCTGTTGCAAAGAAGGCATTTTTCTTTTGGTTTCCGGTAAGTGGCGTCTAAGCCTCTTGGTTACCTGCTTTATTTAAAGCCTTAATAATGCTTTTTTCCCCCACTATATTCAATCCCGCTGGCTACCCTCAGTCTCAGTCCCTGTCAGTGTTAGTGACAGTTTTGGTAGTGTTTGCTCAGATTTCCCTTGGGCTCCATGGTGTTTGGAGGATATGGGGGAAGGACTCTCTGATTTGAGAGATGGGGGCTGCGGCTTAGCCTCGGTTTTGCAACTGTTAACTGTTGTTTCTCTGCCGTCCCCGCTTCTCTACGGTACCCGCTTCTCTGCTTTCTGCTCTGATGGCTAGGCCCTGCCACCAGCTGTGTGGAGCTCACAGCTCTACCAGGCAGGGCTATTTTGGGTAGTCGCCATACCTTCTCTCCTCCCCCTCCTCCTACTGGGATGTTTGGCTGTGAGAGGCAGCATTTTTGTTTTTCCCAGTCCACCATCCAACACCCGTGGTAGCTCTTTTGCACAGAACCCAAGTTCAGATGTGCTGGTGTGCAGTTTGGATGTTTTTTGTTGAGTTTTAGATGTTTGGCTTATTGTTATTTCAGTGGGAGAGATCTGGGACATCTCTCACTCCGCCATGTTTTTCCAAACACCTGAGGCTGGGAGCTGTTTATGCTTTGTTCATTTCTGTACTGCTAACACTTAGCATGTCATTCTATGCATAATGGAAATTCACTACAAATCTGAGGAATGAAATAATGAATATATGAGATGAGTCCTGCCACCATGGATAGAATTGATGTTCCAATAGATCAAACTCTCATTTGGGTAGAAAGAATGTTACATATAAAAGTAGCCATAAGCAAAGACCATTGGGGAACATTTTTCTTTTCTTTTCTTTTCTTTTTTTATAAACTAGTGGCTATTATTTCTACATTTGCTTTCAATGCCCCCTAGCCAGACTACTTTCTTGACAAGATTGCCTTGGTTAATGGAAATTCTGTAGGCTGTTGTGGAACAGTGAACACCCTGATTCCCAGCTTTTTGGTGAATGCCTACTATGTGCCAGACACTAGAAGGACTGTGCTAGGCATTTGTTGAAGTGACATAGATAAATTACCAATTACTCTACATAGGTACATAGTTTGTATCCTTTGAATTTGCAGTTCTACTCACAGAATATTAGGCTGGAAGCCACCTTCAGCATCAACCCCCTTGCTATAATAATCAGAGCTCACATTTATTGAGGACATACTGCTCCCAGACACTTCACATACTAACAACCCTGTGAGATAGGTACTCTTGTTACCTATATTTCACATATAAGGTCATTGAGACACAAAGATATTAGTAACTTACTCAGGGTTGCACAGCTAGGAAGTACTAAAGCCAAGATTCAAGCTCAAGTTTGTCAGAGTTCAAAGTCTTCCCAGAGATAGAAAAGGACTTGCCAAAGGTCATTTTGCTGGAGCTTAGCTCTTCTGGCTCTAATTTAGGTGCACATTTTACTCTCATGCTGCTACTTTAGCCCACGCTGTGGGATTGCTTCCAAGTATTATTCTCTTATTTAGAAGTGTTCGTCTCCCTAGATGGACAGTGGATTCCTCCAGGGCAGAGATTGTGTTATTATTGTATTGCCTCTTTCATCAAGGGCTTGTGCAAGCTTTGCCTTCAGTAAATAATGGCCTGTAATCAGCTTTTTAGCTGCTGCTTGGAGCTTCCTGGAGCCATCTCCCTGCTACCCCTACTACTCAGGGCTCAGAGGTTGGGAGGAGCCAGGGAGTAGAATTTTGGATAAGCAGTTGCCTCACCGCCTGCTTTCTGTTTTGTTCTCTGCAATACAGATTGAAGATGGGGGCAAGGCAGCCTTGTCCCAGAAGATGAGGACTGGTGATGAGCTGGTGAATATCAATGGCACTCCATTGTATGGCTCCCGCCAAGAGGCCCTCATCCTCATCAAAGGCTCTTTCAGGATCCTCAAGCTGATTGTCAGGAGGTAAGGTACAGAGAGATTTTCTGTAAGATGCAGAGGCCATCAAAAACACTTGGTTGATAGTAAAGCCTCAATAGAGTCATGTCTCTATCGGTATCATCAAAGAAAGAGGTGTTTCTCATGAAGAGAATTCTACAGACAACTGAAACAAAAAGCATAGGAGAAATGGTCTTTGGTTCAAATCCTGGCACCATCACATACTACCCATGTCATCTTAGATAAATTTATTTTACCTCTGCAAAATTTGCTTCTTATTTGCTATTGAAAGAATGAAAATGACTCAATATACACCAAGGGCCTACATAACCCAGTGGTTTTCTATCACCTCCTTCATAACAGGCTGCCACTGATCAACCTCATAGGTTAAAGGGACCTACTACCAGCCATAGCAGGCATGCTGGAGGCTGTGACACACTCTAAGAAATAAACACTGCCCTTGAGGAGTGTACAGTCTAGCAGAGGAGAAAAGACACACATGTGACAAACTTGTGAGCAAAACATTTTTGAAGAAAGCAATTAAAGAGATTTTGCAGGTTGAAGAGTTGTTGTCAAATGGATTGTTCAGATAGACATTGCTATAAGAATTTAAGAGAAAGAGTATTTCAGAAGAGATTGATAGAGTAAGACTTCATAGAGGAAATGGAATTTGAGCTAAAGGGTAAGTAGAATTTGACAAATAAACCATTAGGAGCATAAAGGCATTCCAGATAAGTAGAGTGGTATAAGCAGAAGGAATGTAGGGACATTTTGGGACATAATCATTTCTGTTGCCCCCAAACATCTGTTTACTGGTGAACTTTCCAAATTTCTGCTTCATCTTTGTACTGCTAGAACTTATACTTCTTCCTCTCCATTAATTTGTTTCCTATATCCTATAGACATGCCTAAGTTCCTCCATCTTAATTATTTTTATTAGAAAAAAAGAATTTAAAGTGTCTTTCCACAATTATACTTCCCCTCTGGCTACTGCCTCATCCTCCTCCTTTTGCTCATACTGTCTTTCAAAAAGAGAGTCTATACTCATTGTCTCCATTTCTTCACCTACTATTTAGCTTTCTACCCACTGCATTATAAACTTGACCCTCAAAACTCCACTGAAACTACTCTGTCAGAAGCTACATATTAACTCCTAATTGTCAAAGTCAATGGCTTATTTTCAGTCTTTATCATATATGACTTACATATGGCATTGGCCCTTGTTACTAAGGATTATACCCTCCTTTGTGAAACTCTCCTTTCTTGCTTTCAAGATACCCATTTCTTTGTTCTTTTTCTATCTCTCTGTTCATTTTTTAAAACTAGGTTCCTTTACTACCTGTCTTTCCTTTGACTATCCCTTAAATGTTGGTGTTCCCCCCTAGTTCCGCCCTTTCTGACTTCATTAATATACTATGGAAAATCTTACCCAGTTCCAGAGCTTCAATTGTTATCTATATGTGGATAAATATACTTCTTGTTCCTCAGATTCATATAGCCAACTTCTTATTTTACATTTATACTTAAATATCTCTGAAGCATTTCAAACACAAGTTGCTCAAAACCTAACATGTCATCTTCTCCTCTCAAGATCTTATCCCAGTGACAGGTTCTGTCATGCCCTCAGTCAACCCAACCAGAAACAGAAACCATCTTTAATTCTTCCATTGTTCTCATGCTCTACATTCAAATGATTTATTCTGAGGAGAGAATACTTAGGGCAAAAAAGTTTTGAGTTAGTAAGGGTAAAGTTATATAGGATCTCATTCATTTATTATATTACCTGCTGGTACCTAATATTAAGCCATTCCTGCCCATGTACCTGGATAGGAGGTGACATCTTAAGTAATTCCTTATACAATGGACACATTGTCACTGACTCAATTTCGAATCAATCATGATTCATGTTTTAAATAAGGATTTTTGAAGGAGTATCTTGGTGAATCTGGAAGAGTTTTTGTTTTGAAGTCAGATAGACCCATGTGTGCTACTTCCTAGTTCTGTCACATGGGAAATAATAGTTCCTATATAATGGCATTGTTGTGTTGAATATATGAGGTAATGTATGTAAAGTAATTATAGTAACCAAACACTATTAAATAAGGAGAGCATCAGAATTGTAGAGTGTTTGCAACCTAACCTTCAGATAACATGATTTGCTTGGAAACCATTAGGAGTGGTAAAGATCTGAAGAAGAAATAAAGGTCACTGTCAGATACTGGTTATACAGAGATACCAGCTATACTAGCACTTAAAGGGAATGTAGACACTATTGCAGGGTGGCTTCTGAGCCAGTCATAACAATGAGTGTTCAGGCATGTCACCTACTCATCTTCCCATGATGAGCTCCATGTCTTCTTTCTCCCTGCTATAGCAATATCTGCCACTGGCAGTTACTTAGGAGTGACCATAATTATGGCCTTACAGGTAGTAAGGCCCTTTAGTTTTCATGATGTGGCAGGTCCTATGGCTCCCCGAACCTACCTTGTCTGCACTTTCAGCTTCCCCTCTCAGCCCCTGTTGAAAGAGGCTTTCGATGGCATAATTTACTAGGTGATGCTGCCCTCTTGTGGAGAACTTAACCTTCACCTATGGACTACCCTGGAGATGGAATAGGACATTTATTCCCTCTTTATTAGTCTAAGTTACTTCTTAAATTTATGAAAGAGATTTTAGCACATAAAAGAAATGTGCTATCTCTAAAATTTAGTATTTAGCTTAGTGTTTTGTACTAAGGTAGAAAGACTTCGGTTTGAGTAAGCAATCAGCTGACAAAGATTTAACACTGAGCTTTAGGTCTGGGCTTATGTCCTTTGGAATGAATATAAAAGAAGGAACTTCATAAAATGGCCTATTCTGAAAAGTCAGCCCAGCTCTTCCTCCTATATTGCCTTTTAAATAATGGTCAACTAAGTCAGAAATTTAGATGTTACCCTCAACTCTTACTTGCCCTAATCCCCTTCAATCCAAGTAATTCCAAGTTTAGATGATTCTACTTGCTAAAAACCTCTCTGTAGCCTTTGTGTTAATCCAATCACTCATGGTTTCTTTCCTGGAATATCATAAGAGCTTCTTCACTGCCTTCTCATCTTTTGGTTTACCTCCTCCCAATCAATCCATTCTTCGGGTAAGGCATCTGATCATGTCATTTATCTACTTGGAAAAAAAAGCAGGAACGATAACCATACAATCATGTAGGTCCCAAGAAATTCATTTTATAATGATAGAAGATATAAACTATATTGGAGATATTGTATTCATGAACCACTTTTTTTGCTAAAAACATAAGCATCCAAATATATAAAGAAAAAAGTGCTTCCAATACAAGAAGAAAAATTATAGAATTGTCTGTATGAGAGACATTTCACGTAATTTAACTATGACAGACAAAGGAGACCAAAAAAATAGGTACTTAGAATATTTGAAAAACATAATTCATCACATCTAATTAATATCAAAAATATATTTTATAGACAGTGAATACACTCTCTTTTTAGAGAACATTCAGAGAAATATTCACAGAACATTTTTTTAAATAATCATATAGTATGACACCAAGAGAAATTTTGCAACTCTTACAAGTGGAAATTATACTTACCCTGTTCTTGATGATAATGTAAACTTTTGCAAATTTATTTTTTTATTAATTTATTGGGGTAACATTGGTTAATACAATTATACAATTTTCAGGTGTACATTATAATTTGACATCTATATATTCTATTGTGTGATAACCACCCAAAGTCCAGTTTCCTTCAGCTACCATATATTTGATCCCCTTTACCCACTTCCCCCCCCCCCTAACCCCAAATCTGACCCCATTTACCCTGTATATCTCTCCCCACCTCCCCGACTTCCTACTCTCTGGTAACCACTAGTCCATTGTCCATATTCCTAAGTCACTGTTTGTCCTGTTGATTTGTTGCTTTTGGGTTTATATCCCACATATAAGTGATATCATGCAATTTTCAACTTTTTCAGTCTGGCTTATTTCGCTTAGCATGATTATCTCGAGGTCCATCCATATCTTCGCAAATGGCAGTATTTCACAGCTTCTTTAGCCAAT